ATTACAGAAGCACTGATCCTGAGCTTCTTATATTGTGTTAAAAAATCCATGTGTTATTTCTCAGGGTGACTCTGGTGGTCCTCTGGTCTGTGAGAAATCTGGAGCCTGGACTCTGGTTGGTATTGTGTCCTGGGGAACCTCAACTTGCTCTACCTCCACTCCTGGAGTCTATGCCCGTGTCACCAAGCTGCGCGCCTGGATCGACCAGACCATCGCTGCCAACTGAGCATGTCACATATGAGAGGTTTCAGCGCCAAGCTAATCCTCAATAAAACACAGAAACAATGAAAATGACCTGCTCGAGAACCTGTCTTTTTCTCCTTAATATTCATCTTCATGTTTTTATTATGTGACCACACAAATTATCACAACTATTAAAGAAACATTATTAATGTATTCATTGAGAAAAATAGACAAATGACCCAACATAAACTCTTCTGTAGAAATTCACTTTAAGACATCGAGCATTCGGTGAATGAAGTGTGGTGAACTCCAGAAGAGTTTTATTACGGTGGACTTGCCTGGTGTTTAGCAGCACCAGAATCAGGTTGGCCTAGCTATACATAAATACTAGAAGCAGTGAATAAAAACTATTTTTTAAGGTTAAAAACCAAATATTTTATATTCCTTAATTGATAAAGAAAGACACGTTAATATGAATGAGATATAGTTAAGAGTTATGATGTTGGGCATCACTTTACAAGATTAAAGCACAGATAGATAGATGTGTATATATAGATATAGATATATAGATATATAGAGATGTGTCAGGTTACACTGATATGATTACACACACTGTCCTCATCAGTTATTTATTACAGCACATTTAATCCAACACAAAACAAAAAGATCACAGATCATATTTGCTGTATGAGTTTCTGCCTTCGCTCCTCATAACAGCAGTTTGTTATCAGGTGCGTCTTGGGGGGCACACGTGGCCAACTCGGCGGCAGTAGCAGATGGCGTTGAAGAAGCGGCAGTAGCAGGTGTCACAGGGATCACAACAGGGAAGTGGGTAGCCCAAACAGGACTGCTGGTGAGGGATGCAGCGACGAGGTGAACGCATGGCCCGACCCTGCAGCTGTAAGGCTGCAGACGTGTCCTGCAAACATAAACGCAGCAAGCAGATGAATTCACTTTGTTAAGGTAAATCTGTTAACAGGGAGTCACGAGGTAAAGAGTAAACTGCTGGTTTAAATGCTGCACCTCATCGTAGGAGCCTGTGTCCATCAAAAAATGATCTTCTACAGAGTCCACAGGGAGGAGGGCAGGCTCGTGCATACGGTCAGGTACTTGGCTTCTTTCTGCAAATCAGAAAACACAGCAGAATGTATTTTGCATTTTTTGCTTACCGTAATCACTCCATTGTGTTTAATCTGCTGTATGTGAAAAATCAATTTCAAAATACTTCAAAATAACTGCAGTCAAATGTAAAAGATTGAGCTTACTAGATGTGATGTAAAAAAAAATAGGGACAAAATAGAAAACTACATGTTCAGATGTCTACTTTTTCTATCTATAAATATTCATGCCTCCACTGTTAAACGGATTAATCCTTCCAACCCTGGTGTGTTGGAGAGACAGTGGTTGGAGCTCTCTGAATGAAGAGATGTTACCGACCGATTTCAGATAGGAAGGTTTCAGTGCGACGTCCAGCGACAGGACCTTCATCGAGCGGTAAGTTTCCATGAACCAGCGAGGAGGCAAGTGGCAGCAGTCCGAAGGACCAACAGCAGAGCAGCACAGTGCCAAACATCGTGCTGCTGGCAGACAAAAGAAGAAGAAAAACCTGCACAACAACTCCCACAATCCTCAGTTTCTCCAACAAGAGTCTCTGAAAGGAGGAAACAGACACAGGCTTCAGTTTACCTGAAAGAGGGGAAACGCCAAAACTTCCAAGTCACATTTTTTATTCATTCTCTGCATTCAAAAACCTTCATTAGTTGATACAAAGACAACTAACGTGTGTGAAACTTTCTACCAAACAAGTTTTGGATTTGGAGCTTGTTGGAGTAAGTTTGATAACAGATATGTCACGGTTCTGGGTCAGTTTGACCCAGTATTTTGAGTTGTCATGTTTTGGTGCGTTTTGGATTCTTTTCTTATGATGATTATGAATCTATGTTTCAGTTATTCTTGTTTAGGGAGTTGTTCGTAGGCTTTGTGTTCTCATGTTTTTGCAGGTTTAGTTCAAGTTCCATGTGTCATTTTCTGTCTGTCTCTCAGTGTCGAGTCTGCGTCTTTGTGTGATGGTTTCTTGTTCC